CTGTCCCTATGCGTCCCCGCGCCTGTCCCGATCCGTCCCGATCCGTCCCCACGTTGTCCCGATCCGTCCCCGTTCATCCGCTGCCCCTCCCTGCGGTGTCTCTATCTGTCCCTATGCGTCCCCGCGCCTGTCCCGATCCGTCCCGATCCGTCCCCACGCTGTCCCGATCCGTCCCCGTTCATCCACTGCCCCTCCCTGCGCTGTCCCTATCTGTCCCTATGCGTCCCCGCGCCTGTCCCGATCCGTCCCGATCCGTCCCCACGCTGTCCTGATCCGTCCCCGTTCATTCCTTGTTTTTTCTCCCATTCCTCGTCCTTCCCCGCTCGCACTTCACGAGGCGGGCGACGCGACGGAAGGGGTGGAGAAGGATGAAGGATAGACCGGGACGTATCAGGACAGCGCGGGGAGGAGATTGGGGTGAAAGGGGACGGATCGGGACAGGTCGTGACAGCGCCGGGAGGGGATGAGGAAGGACGTGGTATGGACGGAGACGGATTAGGACAGATAGGGACAGCGTGGGGACGGATCGGGACGGATCGGGACGGATCGGGACAGGCGCGGGGACGCATAGGGACAGAAAGGGACAGCGCAGGGAGGGGCCGCGGATGAACGGGGACGGATCGGGACAGCGTGTGGACGGATCGGGACAATTCGGGACAGCTAGGAACAACGTGAGGTGACAGGGAAGGACGTGGGATGGGCGAGGGCGGATTAGGACAGATCGGGACAGCGCGGGGAGGGGACGCGGTTGAACGGGGACGAATCGGGACAGCGTAGGGACACATTAGGGACGGATCGGGGCAGCGTGGGGACGGATCCGAACCGGTCAGGACAGCGTTGGGACGGATCGGGACAGCGTGGGGACGGATCAGGACAATTCGGGACAGATAGGGACAGTGCGGGAAGGGGACAAGGAAGGACGTGGGATGGACGGAGACGGATTGGGACAGATAGGGACAGCGCGAAATGGAGACAGGGATGAACGGGAACGAATCGGGACAGGTCGGGACAGCGTGGGGACGAGTCGGGACGGATCGGGACAGCGTGGGGAGGGGACGTGGAAGGACGTGTGATGGACGGGGACGGGTTGGGACGGGGCGGGGTGGGGACAGGGAAGGATATAGAATAGGTGGGGCAGCCAGGGACATGGGAGGGATGTGACGATGCGTCTCGCTATGACACTGGGCTACTGCGCCCGCACTGTCTATGTGTCGCAGTAGCCCAGTGGTCAGCATGCGGCATCGCCAGCTCCAACGTCCCAGGTTCAACTCCCATCAAGGTAAGTAAAAATGAAAATATGTAGAGTAAAGAAAGAAAAAGGAGTGGGGCTGAAGGGGGGAGAGGAGAGTAGAGTTACAGAAGAATTACTCAAAGAGATATATTTTTCCGGGACGGCATAGGGACAGCTTAGGACAGGAGTGTGACGGCATGGAGACAGCTTAGGACAGGAGCGGGACGGCATAGGACAGGATCGGGACGGCATAAGGACATCCTAGGACAGGATCGG